GTGAAATTCAATGGAAACGTCAGCTCAACTCATATGATTGTGGGAAAATTAGCCTTAGACGAAATAGTGTTAATTCCTCTAATATCTATTTATTTTCGTTTTGCAATTACTGTAGAACTAGATAGTCTTCCTGACCTGTTTTGTTAACCGGAATATTTTGTCAGAAAGATTTCCAGCTTTCAGAATGCCTGCCAGGCAGCAGTACGGACGAAATTTCAGCCAGCAATAACCCGAAATGAGGGAGAAACATCGTTTTAACTCCAAACGACTGCAGACCAACATGGCATTTTTTCATCTTACACTTTTACATCAAATCAAAGTCTCCACAACAACGTTATCTCAAGCGGTCTTCTCATTTTCGAAACTGTATCCTGCTGCTGGGGCAGTCTAGTTGGGCGCATCCTGTCAAAAATCATCTTCTTAGCGGTTCTCGTTATTTCCCAGACGTTTCCCTGGCATTGCTGTCGGCATCGTCAGTACGTCTTGCCACGTCACAACTCATCAAAGAGACTTTGTGCCGAGGATAGCAAGACCCAGTGACAATGTCTGAGAAACTTCTTAGAATGTATAAAGTCTACGACTCAATGCTGGCAATTATCATAAATACAAGAAGAGAGGAGATAAGACAAGATGCTCCCAAATAAGTCTCTCTGACAACACGATAAATTTGTGAAAATGAGGTTACATCAATCTATACAACAAAAGAAGACTGCGGCCAAAATAGGGGACTTTGGTGCTTCTTTGTGAAAATTCATCGTCAAAAATGCAAAGCAATGTTCCTTTGCTTTCAACTCCTATCAATTTATTAACTCAGTCACTAGAACTATTTACGCAAAAATAAATGTCCATTCGCATTAAACTGCCACATAAGTCCAGCTAACAAATTTCGTTGTGCTGGTGCTGTAGAAAACTTTCGATATGCTTGGCTGGACTCAACTTCGTCATACAGTTCCGCATAGAGACAGACTTTCCGTAGGCCTTCTCTTTCTCAGCAAATGTTGGACGGATGGAACCCATAAAGTAACATTGTTTCGGTGTTGCAACTGCTGATTTGTGTGAATAAATCCTCTAAACACCATAGTTGCTGGAAAAGGGACAATTGCTTTTCGGCGAACCTTGACAACCGGTTTCGCGTTGTGGCGACGATAAGTCTGAACAAATTATTGTCTCAACAAGTCCTTTTCACTCAATTAGGCCGATCTACCATTTCCATTCAGCCAAAAGTTTTTAAGAAATGAAAAGCCCATATAAAAGACCTTATTTTGTCAGTACATTTAACTGCATTACTTATATTCATAATTAGTAGATGCCTAAACGAACAGAAAATCTTGAATGTTATTTTCATTGTTGACACTTATTATGAATGATTTAATGAGTAGTATAGTAAATGCGATAGAAAAAATTAGCAAGACGCAGAGAAGCTGATTACTTACATGGATAAATAAACTGTATAAATTACTGATCTTATTTTCACTATAATATATGGAATTAATATTTACATAAAATAGGCTTAGAAACTATCATAAAGTTTATTCATCTTCTTGTGGTAGTCTATATTCATTGAATTGGCTCTAAAAATTTCCATTCCCTTTCTCTATAGCCTCCATGAACGCAGCAAAAGTCAAAGGTTGAAAACCACGCGCCCGACCGAAATTAAATTGAATTTGCCCCAAAGAAGCAAACCTTGACTTTTAATCCTATGCGTAGATGCCGCACATATTCTGTGATTCTTTAATTCGTAGTCCCGTAATTGCATGCAATTTGTTGTCCTAATTATTGAAATAGAGGCAAAAAGCCATTTGTTTAGTGAAACCTTTCCCTATTTTTTTGCAAAGACTGGACTCTTCAGACCTGAGGCCAAAAAGATTGTTATTTTACTAGCAGTACATTTTTTCAATTATACAATCATTTGCTTTTGATTTGCTTCTCGCTTCTTGGCTTGTATAGCACCGCTATGACCTCTAAGGTTTTCAAGTCCGTGACTAGATTCTCTATTCCACGAAATCTGCTCATGTGGATAATTCGGCTCCACTTTCACCCTAGCGCATCTATAGTCAAGCAACAACGGCGGCCTCGAAGACCGGAACAAACCAACTATTGTTGCCAGGCGATGGACCTAGCAGCCGAGCCAGTAATGAGGCAACTGGGAGAAGAGTATTCTCGTCTCTGATGGGTTTTTTATATCATTAATGCAAGAAGAGTTTAGGGCTGCTTTCCAGACTTTTGGAAAAAGCAACCATGACAACCGTGTGCCTTGAGAATTAGATGGCGAAATCATCATATCTAAAATAGCATCAAACCGGACTTTTAGCATTTGTGAATTGAAGAGCAATAGTTTAATGTGAGGCAGGGACGATTAGATGAAATGCCTAGACTTCAAGATTTCATTGAAAGCTATTTTGTCCTCCCTCTCAGATCACATATTTTTATCCCGGCTGGACTTCAGCTTTGATCTCGTTCGTAGCTCATCATCGCCCACCACGAGATCCGAATCTGAGGAGTGTGTATGTCAGCGCTCCGTCCGACATACTCGAGAGCAACTTGATCTTAGGGCAGAAGTGAATGATGTGGGTGAGAAAAACTTGTATTTCCTCCACTATCTTTGCTATCCAGATTCAGGTTTAAACAAAGATCTATGGATATTAATTGATTAGGAAAAAACCAGACCCTATAACATTTTAGCTTTTAAGGAGTTTATGAAATAAATTATAAAATTATTCTTGATCTATTGGTCCATTAGAGACCAGATTAATTGTTATTATTCGTAGTAAGTACATTTTTAAGACTATCAATAGATCACCGTAGCTCGCTTATGGTGATGAAGGACGGATAGTGACTTTTCCACGAGTAAGACGACGTCACAATGCTACAGAATTTCACACATTGTGATACTACTATTCACCAAATAAGTAGTAATAACTAGAGTCAGCCCTTATTGTTTAGGATGATGCGATAAATCCTGGTTGAACTTTTAATCTGCCCCGTGACTCAGTGGCTCCAGAATTCTTAACTTTTTATGGGTGTAAATGAGATCGGATCTACAGACCAGCTATTCTGGAAACAAGTATGATATATTTTTCAACAGCATTTTATTCCATATAAATTCAATTGCCAGTCCATACATCTGCCCAGACAAATTGAGATTACTCGAGTTGTTGTTCATGATATTTTGA